CTAGACTTCAGCCTATAGAAAGTTTAAAGGATTGGTTAGTTATCTATCCTCATATTTACAGTGCATAAAGGACTCGAGCCTCACCCACAACCTGATTCCGTTAAACTTCCCTCTCTAACACTACTTATCTTTATATTTTCATGTCAGTGACCTTCTTTCTTACGGCTTATAATCTCTATTGGTGGACTCTTGAAGAAATATTCCAGGTCTCTCGTTAAGGGCTTTTTACAAATCCGAAAATCTTTCTGAACTTTCTTGTTATGTATCATTAATTATAAACTAGACTAAGTAAGTAGACTTCAACCAGGGATGCGTTTGTTAAGGGGTTGTCAACAGGCCTAAAATAGCCGACATTTGTTACAGTGCATGCGGGTAATGAATTGGGCTTTGTAGAAGGAGCTGCTTTTTGGTTTTTAACTAAAAAAAAACTCAGAGGACTATCATGATGAGATGGATGGTCCTATATTTGAACATTGGTTTAAGGAACAGCTGCTTCCTAATATTCCAGAGAAATCGCGCGACTCTCCAAATTATGACAAGTTGTATAAAGTTCGTCCTTTATTGGATACTTTATCAGAAACATTTCGTTCTTCATATGGCCCTTCAAAACACCAATCCATAGACGAATCTATGATTCTTTTCAAGGGTCGTAGTTGTCTAAAGCAATGTATGCCTCTAAAACCCATCAAGAGGGTTATAAAGTTTGGGTTAGATCTGACGAGAATGGATATGTTTGCCAATTTCAAATATATGTTGGAAAAACTAACGGTCAACCTGAAAAAGATTTGGGTCAAAGAAATCTTAGATTTGACTCGAGATTTGGTGGTAAAAGGATTTTACGTTTTCTTTGATAACTTTTTCAACTCTGTGCGGCACTGTCAGGACTAAAGGAAAAGATATCCCCAAAGACTTCTTCTTAGAGTGCCATATCCCTACGGAACGTCGGCGACTACCATGCTTATAATATTATTATACTGATCTCGGTCTTGCGCTACGTGTAGCAATTGGTCCGCTGTCAAACCTGTCCACTGCCGCAAATTCCTCAACCAAGAGAGTTTCTTCCGTCATATCCATTTCTTTCTTCGATTTTACCGTTGAGAATTAGCCGAAGGAACTCATATCTTGGTCCTCTGATTATATGTCCAAGATACTCTAGTTTACGCCTCTTAATAATATTTAATAGAGTTCGTTGATGTCCCATTCTTCGAAGAATTTCTTCGTTTCTGGTTCTGCTAGTCCATGGAATTTTTAGTATCCTTCGATACAACCACATCTCAAACGCCTCGATTTTATTCATGATATCGGCGTTTAAAGTCCAAGTTTCACATCCATACAAAAGTACAGACCACACGTAACATCTTGTAAACTTTTCACGGATTTCCAAATTTAATGAGTTATTGGATAATAGAGGCTTGAATATTTGAAATGAGTTTCTTGCCTGTTCAATTCTACATCGAATTTCGAAGGATGGATCTAGATTTTGGGTAATCCAACAAAAGACTTAGCATCTGACAAATAATTACACATCCGAGGACAATCGGACTGGAGGGTCAGCAAAGATGGACTGGTTTTTGCAAAGTGGAGAGACCGGAAAGTAGTGCATTTTTTGGAAATCATCAAAACCTTTCAGAAGAAGCAACTGTTTCCCGCAAGCAAAAAGACACAAAGAAATTCACAAGTCGTGGCCTGTCCAACGATGGTTGGATCAATATAACCAGCATATGGGCTACGTTGACAAAACAGATATGCTGAAATCTGTTTATGAGATTGACCGCAAATCAAAGAAATGGTGGCACCGAACTTTATGGCATTTCATAGATATATGTGTTGTAAATTCTTTTATTCTTTTCCAACAAAAAGCGAAATGTGCGGTTCCAGACCCAAAATTTTTTAGGTTATCTGTAGCTTCAGGGTTAATCGGCGCCAGTGGTAGTAAACTGCCACGAAGTAGAGTTGCTTCTCCTACAGTCACAGGGAAATATTTCAAAAACATTGTGCCTTATGAGAAACGCTTTGACCAATGTTTGCATATACCACAACACGGGACACCTAGACGATGTGCTTTTTGTAGCGCTAGTAAGGATCCTTCCAGAACCAGATGGGATTGTGCGACGTGTAATTTTGGATTGTGCTTTAGTGAGAGCGCCCACCAAAGTGGCGTGGCACGTGGCAAGTAGCACGCGTCTAGCATGTTACTTAAAATGTAACCAATGAAAACGAATGATTCAGCATACACCAAAATGATAGTGACGTCAGTCGCTCTAATCATTCGTTTGCATTGGTTACATTTTATGTAACATGCTAGACGTGTGCTACTTGCTACTTGCCACGTGCCACGCCACTTTGGTGGGCGCTCTCCCTTAGCGAAAAAAAAAAAGAACTGTTTTTTCGTTGTATCTTAAAAAGTAACCTACGTTTAATATTATTACATTATTTATTTATCAGATTTTTATTTGAAGAAAAATCTTTAGTTTCCTAGTGGTATCATGTCGAAACCATAGCCTATTAAAAAAATACATAAAAAAATATTATCTTTCACTTTTTTGTCTTTTAGGAACCCGATAGAGTAAGATTATTAATTTAATTTTTACCTAAATTTTTGATTTTAAAAGATTTCAGGAAACACAGGGCCAAAGACGTGTGTATAGGATTGCTTAGGACTATATAATTAGACAAGATGTGTATCAGAAATAGCCTTGCATTTATTGCTGTACATATAAATTACATTTGGTACTAAATACAATAGAAAATTTTCTATTTTAAAAAGTCAGTCTTTACTTACATAAAAATAGGTAAACTTTAACAAAAGTACAAGCTGAATAAAGCTCCAAATGTCAACCATGGAAATAAATATTTCGGCTTGGCAGTGTTGAGTGTTTTTATAATGAATATGATGTATACTTCAAATATAAAGAGAGAATACTTTTAAAAAGTACTTTTTGATTACACTAGTTTATGAATTCTGCAATTTTTAATTTATATAAAACAAGAACATATACATATTAACAAGTAAATATTTGTTTCTTTCGAGATTAATTGCGAGTGGATTTTTTTACTAATTGTCCTTTAATAGATTAGCGGAAAGATTTGGCAACCGTCAAACCACCAGTTGCCAGATTGCAACAGATGTTTGCAATTAATCTCGAAAGTGACAAATATTTACTCGTTATTGTTTTTTATAAATTAAAAATTGCAGAATTCATAAAATAATATAATAAAAATGTACTTTTTAGAAGCTTTCTCTCTTTATATTTGAAGAATACAACATATGCATTATAAAAACATCCAAACACTGCCAAACCGAAATATTTTGTTCCATGGTTGACAGGTGCGGCTAAATTCAGCTCGTACTTTCGTTAAAGCTAACCCAAAAATAATATATACACTCATAGTTGTCGGGATAAGGAATACAATGAATATTATTTATTGCCAAAAAATATCTATAAAGCAGAAAGAAAAAAGCTCTACAAAAATCTACAAAGAGACCAATAGGTAAACAGACACAAAGGAGTTTCATTTTATTTATGTAAAACAATAATATAGCTTTGGATCCTTTTAAAATCTCCTTAGAATGTGTCTACCGAATAAGAACAGCAAAAGTAAAAAAGAAAAGTTAATACATATATTAAGAGAAATATTTGAATCCAATTTTCTTTTATTTATGCACTAATTTATTCCATACCTTATTCTAAAACGAATATTGCCGACTACGTTTTCTGTACTTTGCAGCGTGGAATAACCCAGAAATATTCAGATCGGTTTTTATCCTGGTTACTTTTCAGTCAATACTTTTCTTTTTTCAATTTACTCCTTTAGAAGTACCTTACCTGTAGAATGGTGGCTTCCTGATGACTTGTAATCACCAGCAAGATACTCTTGTTTAAGATAGCTATATTCTTCGAGCCAAATAGTTGCAAAATTTCATCTAGCCGATTGGTTATATGGTCCTTCGAACCGGATATATGCTAGTTAGTAAACTCATTTATCAGATCTGCATTATCAATAGTAGTAGCAAATATACTATTCGTACAATTTGAAAACATTGTAGTCTTATTACATCGTCAAATCTTCTTTCATTTCATCATAAAATTTCAATTTACTTCTTTATATGATGACCATTTATATGGTCCTTTAAACAAGATACACTTTAGTAGATCCCCTTATATATTGCTACTGCATTATTGATATTATTAACAAACAGCATAACTATTAGAGTTTTACAGTATTACAATACAGTTTTAAATAATTGCAGCCTTGTTCCAAGCCGGCAAATCATCTATAAAGAAAAATGATTGAACTCAAATGGTTTTCCCTTTTTAATGCTTTTTGATCTAGAAATTATTGAATAAAATCTAAAATTGATGAATTGCTTATGAAATTTATTTGCTATAAAGCTAAAATGCACAGACCGCCGTTCACGGGCTACACATTATCCTCACTTGATTTTTAAATGCTATGCTCATAAACAAATTATCCGAGATTATAAAATCATCTAGGATTTTCCTTCTACCAATTCATACCTTTCCGCCAGGTGCTTCCAATTTATTACTATTATTTTTTATTATTACTAATTATTTATTATTTTATGCAAACTGCTGATGTTCTGGTTACTTGCTGTCACATCGTGACATTTCACATCTTCAGGATAGCTGCAAGATATCATCTGCTAATCATTTCCATCGTCTTTCGAATCGGATACACTCTAATAGACTCCTTTATGAGTTATCATTATTACGAAATAGTCTGATCCTGCATTATCGATATTAGTAGCAAATAGTATACCTATTCGTGCAGTTTTAAACCATTGTAGCATTGTTCCAAATCGGCAAAACCATGTATAAAGAAAAAGTATTGGACAGAAACTTTTCTTTTACTTTTTATTGCTCTTTTTGATCTAGAAATCGTGGTATAAGCTCTAAAATAAGTGAATTGATGATGAATGATGAAATGAATCTATACATACGTTATTAAAAAAGAAAAGTTAAAAACTAATCATTTACCTTCAACCACCTAAATAAAAAAACCCTTAGAAGAAATAGTACCATTAACAGATGAAGTGGGTTATGTGCATAAATAAAATAATTAATTCTACAGAAATATTAGAGTATCTACTTCTACACCCTCCACCTTCAGTCTCTGTGCATAGCCTGGAAAACAAAAGAGTGTTAGTAATAGTAAATTGTAGGCATGCATAATAAATTCAATATACAACAGTTTTGTATTAATAAATATATTTTTACAAACAAAAAAACTAAGAAATAATAACTAATTGTATACTAAACTACATCTACCTCTTTTCTACCCTCTCTCAGTTTGAAAATGATTTCGGGCCCGATCATCTTCACACCCCTGAAACATATAGTACATATATTAATAAATATTTAACTCTTAGTCAAATCTAAACAATATACAGTCCATCCGCTGATTCTTTACACAAGTACTTTGTGACTTTAACAATCACAGTTTACTCTGGGGCTATGCAGATTGGGACGCAAATAGAGACGCGGTAGAAGCATGGGACGAAACGAATGGTCTTACGTTAATCCATGATCCTAAACTTCCATCCTTTTGGAGCAAAGTTTGGAAAAGAGGACATAACCCGGATATCTGTTTTTCAAGTAATAACCTCGAAGACCGATGTACAATAGTAATATATGGGCCCATACCAAAAACTCAGCATAGACCAATTGGTATAAATACCTTTCCAATTGTCAGACCACAAGCTATTCCATTCAGAAGGAGATTTAACTTCAAAAAGGCAAACTGGTAAAAGTATATAGACATGCTAGATTCTGAGCTGCTACGTCTTGAACCAAAAGTAGAGAACTACTAAAAATTTGTAGAGGTACTCAGAAATGTGTCTGGAAAAGCTATTCCCAGATGATGTAGACAACAATATGTTCCGGGGATGTCCAGCGAATTTAAAGAACTAATAAGAACATACGAAACCCTCTATTCCACTGACCCTTTTAGCCAAGAAATGGTTGACTACCGAGCAGTACTACTCCAACACCTAAGTCACGCCAGACAGGAAAAGTGGATTGAGACCTTGGAAAAAATGGACATGACATATGTAGCAAAATAGCATGGAACCTTGTAAAAAACTTAGCGATAATCCAAAAAAACATAAGCCACCTTGCAAGGTTACAGCAAACCAAGTCGCCGCTCAACTTCTTATGAATGGAAGAACTACGAACCGATATAACGACCCAAACACTAGAAGAAGATTGGATTCGGAGACAAATCACCTAGAAACTCCTTTTGCACTAAAAGAACTCCACGACGGTATGAACAGGTTAAAAATCGGGAAAGCTGCAGGTGTGGATGATATATGCAATGAACAAATAAAGCATCTAGGCCAAGGAACAAAAAACTAGATCTTGTAACTATATAACACGTGCTGCAAAGCCTGCGAAATTCCAAAATCATGGAGAAAATCTAAAGTAATAGACTTGTTAAAACCAGGAAAGGACCCAGAAAATCCCAGTAGCTACAGACCTATTTCGCTGCTGTGTCACTTTTTCAATCTGTACGAGAGACTTATACTCGCCAGGGCTGCCTACTTTCGTAGATTTGACAGCAGCCTATGACCACCATCTGGGTAAGGCCGTATATTCCTTACTCCAAAACAGACGTTTTTTCATTATGCTGGAGGGTAAAGTAAGTAGATGGAGAGTTAAAAAAAACGGCCTCCCACAGGGAAGTATTTTAGCACCAATGCTCTTCAGTATATACACAAACGACCAACTTATGCCGACTGAAACCGAGCACTTCCTCTATGCTGGTGATCTTGCAATATGTGCTGAAGGAAATAGTTTTGAAGAAGTTGAGAAGAAACTCGAAACTGCCTTAAAAACAATGACAGCGTACTACCTGCAGAAGCCAAGCGAAAACTCCAAATTGTGTGGAATGGTAATACATTAGAACACACACACCAACCTATATATCTTGGAGTAACTCTGGACCGGTCCCTCACCTGCAGACAACATTGCATAAAAACGAAAGGGAAAGTAACTAGGAACAGCATACTCAGAAAGCTAACGGAAAGTAAATGGGGTGTACGTCCTGGCGTTTTAAGAACAACGGCACAGGCACTGTGTTTCTTAATTGCTGAATATGCGTGCTCCGTTTGGAGCAGATCTGCCCGCACCAAACAAGGGTAACAAGGACAGATTTATTTACTGTCCATGTTATTCGACAACCTGTAGGTTTTCAAAGACATGAACATCATGTTCATAAATGTGTACCTAGGTTTCAAATTGCAGTAAATTAAATAAAAGAAGTATAAAAACGTCCATTACTATAGATTGGTATAATGGTAATATCTTCACAAAGAAGTGTTTGGCATATTATATAGAGCCATCGAAAAAATCTGAGACAGGTCGTTGAATCACACAAATATACGGCTTGCTAGTGGCATAGTCAGCATATAAAATCACGTGACAATTATGGTTTGACAAATGATATTGTCAATGTAAAGTTGGGTTACGTCTATATGTTTAACCGTACACCATTAAAACTTTAATGATCTAAATATTTAAACAACGATGTAACATAGTTTTTCAACAAATATTTTCGGGAAAATTAAAAATGGTGTTTTAACACAGTTATAATGAACGAAGATTACTTCTATAAATATATGTAAAAGTAAATAGCTAGTCGCAAAACAGTGTGAATGAGTTTTTAACTAAACATACGTAATAGAAACAAGTTGACACGATAGCTGACAATTGTCAGGTGACGTCCTAGTCAACTGACAACAATAGGAAACGAGCAAATCATACTGCTACAATAAAATAAATTATTTTCGCGTGACGCGTAAATAAATGGTATGGAAATTCATTACTTTCTTAGTTCTAGGATTGGATAAACTATATCAAAGTTATCTTACCAATAAAATAGCATGGGACAATAGACAGCAAAGTACGTGAATAATGTAACAGGGAAAATTGCCATCCATGATTCTCTTGTTTTGTTGACAAGTGCAACTGCGTTGAGATATCCACATCTTTCGGCAGTCATTCTTCTATCTGTGGGCTGGACCGATGAATTCAATTTCTACGAAAAAATTAAATAAATAATTAATAATACAAGAAGACAACCAAAATATAGCCGAAAATGTCGAGCATGGAACAAAATATTTGGATTTCACAGTGTTGCCAAGTTTTTATACTGTATATGTTGTGTATTTCAAATATAAAGAGAGAACGCTTTTAAACAGTACTTTTTGATTATATTATTTTTTTATGAGTTCTGCAATTTTTTAATTTATATAAAACAAGAACGAGTAAATATAAATATGTTTCTTTCTTGATATATATCATCATCACAGTCATTAACATCTTAGTAGATGTGTTGTGGTTCATAATTGGGCTTCAGCAGCTCGGACAGTTTGATTGATAATATTTCTCCACTGGTCGCGGTCATCAGTTATATGTATTGCCTCAGTATACTGTTTATTGAGAAGCTTTTTAGTAATGTCCGCCCATCGCTGTGGAGATCTTCCGCGTTGGCGTTGAGTCTGAGGCCTTCCTTGGACCACCAACCGCTCCATTTTGTGATCACTTCGATGGATATGGCCAAAGAACTTTAAAATTCTAGAGTAAACGGTACTGGAGAGACGTTGATCCGGTTTAATTTCATCCAGAACCGAGATATTTGTACGGCGAGCCGTCCATGGAATTCGAAGCAGGCGTCTCCATGTCCACATTTCAAAGGCGTCTATACGTCGTCGATCTGATTCTTTGACTGTCCATGTCTCGCATGCATAGTAAAATATGGAAAAGACCAGAGTTGAAACGAGTCTCTTTTTGTTTGTCATAGTAATGTGACGATCACGCCAGACCCCGTTTAGTTCACTCATTGCTGCTCTTGCTAGTTGAATGCGTCTTCTAATTTCGGATTCACAACTGCCTGTGTTGTTAACTAGAGCTCCAAGATATATCATAGATGAGACTACCTCGCATCCCGCAATAGTTTCGGTTTCAGGAAACTGTTGTTGGCGATCAATAACCATGATTTTGGTTTTGTTGTAGTTAACCATGAGTCCAAATTTAGCACTTTCTACCTCGAGTTTTTTTAATAATCTAGTAATTTCTTCTGGAGTAGAGGCTAGAAGTGTAGTGTCGTCTGCGAAACGCAAGTTAGATATCTTAACACCACCTAGGTTTACTCCTCCCTCCCAACCATCCAAAACTCTGCGCATTATGAACTCCGAATATATGTTAAATAATAAGGGAGATAAAACGCATCCTTGGCGTACTCCCTTCTCCAAAGTGCATTTGTCAGACAGATATCCGTCCATTCGAATATATGCCAGGTTATCTTGATACAGTTTGCTAATAAGGTGAGTCAAGTGTTTAGGTACACCCATTGTCGTCAATATGTTCCATAGTTTGTCCCATCTAACATTATCAAAGGCCTTTGTATAATCGACGAAACATATAAATATCGGGATCTGGTATTCTCTGGCTTTTTCTATGATGTTTCGTACATTAAGGATTTGTTCTCTAGTACCTCTGCCCTTTACAAATCCAGCCTGCTCAGGTGCTATTTGCCAACTTATGAAGTTTTCTAGACGCCGTTGCAGTATGTAGAGGATCACCTTACTGGCGTGTGATATTAGAGCTAATAGCCTGTAGTTGTTACAATTATTTGTTGAACCTTTCTTATGAAGAGGTATGATTATGGTCTTTCTCCAATCCTCAGGCCAGACGCCTGTGTGCCATATTTCATTGCACAATCGATGTAATATTTTCACTCCACATTCCGGAAGATGCTTCAAGACGTCTGCAGTAATGAGATCATATCCTGCTGCTTTGTTTAACTTAAGTCTTTTTAAAGCGAATTCCACCTCGGAAAAAAGTATGTCAGGTTCAGACTCAAAACTAGTGTGGTGTGTCTCTGTTGAAGGAGAATGGAAAGTGGAGGTCTGGCAGTCAGGTACAAACGGGGCGTCCGCTGGCATCTGGTCCGTATTGGCGTATAAAGACTTACAATACGCCCTCCAAACATCAATAACCTTGTCCAAATCCGTCTGTACATTACCTTCATCATCTTTGATAGACCAAGATTTCTGCTTGAATTTACGTGTGAGTTGTCTGACTTTATCAAAGAGTTCTTTGGTGTTATTTGTGTCGGCGTGTAGTTGAATTTCTCTGCAGATTTTCTCTATATGCTTGTTTTTGTCTCGTCTACAAGCAGCCTGAATAGCTCTAGATAGCTGTCGGTACTGGGAATTCCTGAGAGGGTTCTCGATTCCAGCAATTTTAAGTTTTCTACGTTCTTCAACGAGGTCAAAAGTATCTGCAGACATCCACACTTTTTTTGGTCCTGTTGAGACGGCATTAGACTGTGCCTCGCAGTCAGTCAAGGTCTGTATCAAGGTATTTTTAAAAGATAACCAAATCTTTTCGGAATCATGAGTAACGATAGTTGGTAAAATATTTTCGAATCTTTCATTACATTGGATTTTAAATTGTTGTGTATCTTTTATTTTTGATATCCTCTTATTTCGGATCCTAGCACATGCCTTGAATTTTTGCTTTAGCGTTGCAACAAGAAGTTGGTGGTCAGAGCCGCAGTCAGCGCTAGGTCGTGTTTTACATTGGCTAATAGATGTTTTCCAGCGATGTTTAATCATTATGTAATCGATCTGATTTCGGTGTCGTCCATTAGGTGAGATCCAAGTGTACAATCTTCTGGGGTGGTGCCTATACATAGAGTTCATTATTGTCAAGTCATTGTCAACGCAGAACTGGATAAGGCGGTCTCCTCTTGAATTGCGTTCACCTATTCCATATCTACCCACAATATTTCGTATATGTTCGTCAGCCATAGTAACACCGATTTTTGAGTTTAAATCACCCATGATGATAGCGATTTCTTTATTTGGGATATTTTGCAGATATGAGGGAGATCCATTTAGTTTTAAGGAAATTATACGATCACTGATAGCTTGATATCCCAGTATATAAGGAGAAAGAGATTTTGATACCCAGAAGCCAACACCATTGATACTTTTGTTAGTGTTGCCGGAAAAGCACATGAAATGTCCCAAATTAGTTATGTAGTGCCCCTCGTTGCGGAAGTGAAGTTCAGAGAGCCCGGCCACAGAGATATTGGTTCGTTCCAGTTCCTTCTCCAGAATAGCTTGTTTGCCCGGTTGTAAAAGACCACGGTCATTCCATGTAGCTATGTTGTATGGTTTGCGGTTATTAAGTTTTTGTTTTTTACCAGTAGCACATTTCGCATGTAAAGCCTGATGCGTCACGTCTACATGCCCGGTAGCTGATTTCACACATTCCTCCCCGGACGAGAAGATGCGCCGGGTGCCATCCGGATCGCGAAGCTCATCATCCGAGGCCTCGCAGCTATTGCTCATATCATGAACTTTCGTGGGTGAAATAAAGGGGTGGTTTCCCGTTGCCTTCCCCTTTGGTTGGGAGTGCTAATAAGGAAATTTGTTTAAACAGGGTTAGTAGGAAAGGACAGTGGTATCTACTGTTTGGACTTAGTAGATATACCAAGGCTCGCGTGGGCAGGGTCGCATACCTGAAGTAGGACTATCACCTATTGGGTTTATAGACGAGTCTCTACCCGCTACCCTGAGGAATTTAGGAGTGTGTGAATGGGGAGAGGCGCAAGTTACGCAGTTTGTGTGTGGGGTGCGCGACATGTATATGCCACACACCCCCCGCGCAAAAAGGACCTCTTCCACTCAAACACGGTCAAAGGGACTCATCCGACACTCGGGGTGTGGCTGAGATAGGTTCTTGGTAACTAAATGGGTATGGGACGAGATGGAATGTTGGGTAAGGACAGCGGTCAGCTGCTCCTGCGTTCGCCTCTTACGACCAGTAGGAGATACTGTGGGTGTATTCTTTTTAGCGACCCGCATCCCACACGGGTCATATATACATATATATATATATATATATATATATATATATATATATATATATATATAATATATATATATAAGGTTCTTGAACTTCTAAGTGAAGCATAGAGCTTCAGGGAAAACGCGCCATCGGGTTCTATTTTGCGCTAAGGCCTTCACCTCATTCCAAGACTTTCCTTGGCCTCTTATCTCGTCCATGATGGATCTTCTCTAAGTTTGTACTGGCCGACCTCTTTTTCTTTTCCCTTGGGGATTCCACTCTAGGGCAGTCTTTGCGATACTGGAACTATTTTTTCGGAGTGTGTGACCGATCCAACCCCACTTTCTGGACTTAATTTCATTTTGTACCCTCTTCTTTCGATTAATTGCAGTTAATTATTAGAATCTTTTTTTTTGTAAATTTTAAGACCATTTCTTTATCATTTTGAAATGCAAGTCTGTCTTGCATAGTATATCTCTTGCCTAGCCTGATTTATTTATATCAGAGCTATTTTCGTGCAATTTTGAGACACTACTTACCGTTACCTATAGAAGAAGTACATGAAAACATTAACCTTAAATATTTCACTTAGAAATTTCAGTCCAGCAATATATTAAAAAATAAATTACAAATTATTATATCCGATAATTAACATTTACCATACCTTTACACAATAAGCTTAAGTTTTATTCTAAACTATAAATTTTGATACATTGTCAACATGACAGGCATAAATAATACAGATCACCTAAGTACCTCTTACTATTAGTGGTCTGTGATAAATAACACTGGCGATCTTTTGTATGCCGCAAAACAGACAGACGTCTGGCCTTAAAATAATTCGCCAATGCACTATAGGTGCACGGCATTGTAAGAAGAAGAACGCAACAGGAATTTTGACGATAAATGACATCAAAATGGGATAAAATATAGAACACGTTCTAATTTTTTATCCGCACAGATATTGCACGGAAATATCGCGTGGACATGCGCAGTTGTCTAAAGTAATAATTTTCCCATGATTTTACCACTTTATGTTTGTTTTACATGTTTAATTAATTAATATATATCCCATCCTCTTTTCCGATTGATTATAAGGAGATGGCAACACTGCCAAACCCAAATATTATGTTCCATGGTTGACATTTCCGGCTATATTCTGGTTGACTTCTTATTAATAATGTCTTAATAATGAATATTTTATTTGGACACTACCAACACTACCGCCATATTAAAAAAAAGAAATATGTAACTAAATTGCTTTAATCAATTAATGTACCTGACCGTTCTTGTCTGTAAAACACTCCTGCAAGAAATTTGTAAAGGTCGGTCCAGGACACAGCAGAGTGACATGAAGATTCTTTCCCATTTTTTCGTTTCTTAATGCATTGTAGTAGCCCTAAAATTTAAACATGTTTGTTACTTATTTAATTACTAGTGAGAATAAACGAGAAAACTATTTAAACGGCAATTTCTTTAGGCAAGTAAGTACAAGAAAGGTAAGGTAAGTAAAAAAGTACTTTGCTATTCACTGTGTTTAAGTTACAAAATGCTTTTTGGCAACACTAGACACACGAGATCTTATAAAAAACGTTACTTACATGAATAGCGTGTTTGGTGGCAGTATAAGTGCCCGAATACGGAGCACCAATAACTCCTGCCAGGCTCGAAACCACAGCGACGTGTCCTTTGCCGACCTTCTCGAAGTGTTCCAAGGCGACTCTGGTAAGATTGATTACCCCAAACACGTTCAGGTCGAACATCTGCCGATCAACCTCTAGTTCGATCGATTCCCAAGCGGCTCTCTGTGAACGTCCTGCGTTGTTGAGCAATATGTCCACCCGGCCGAAATGATTGATGGCATGTTGGAAATGTCTTTTGTGTGATACGAAGTCGGTGACGTCCATTGGTATAATGAGTACATCATTTTGTTGCAGAGAACCTTTGGATAATTCTAAAAAATACACTGTTTACAAAGTAATAATAGACAAAAAAAATACGTGGTGTGACAATTAAGTTCCAGGACTGATTTTTTTGACAAACATCTGTATAAATATGTCTCGTCGTAATCCTTAAATAACGCACTTTAAAAATTGCTCGATTTGAAAAAATATTCAAAGTGTTGAAACAAAACGCTCCGTCGAACAGCTATGAAACTTTGAAAAAGGTTTACAAGAATTATTGCCTATTTTGCGCCCAGAGTTTTGAGTCGTACAAACGTTTTAAGGAGCTATGGTGGAGGTAATACGGGATGATGTTGCTGTGACTTCAAAAAGTGCCTTGAGCGTTCAAAAAGTTTCCCAAATTTCTTCAAAAATACCGCCGATTAAGAATTAGGGCCATTGCTAAACACGTAGATAGTAAGAAACAAACTGTGAGACAAAATTGTGTATTAAGCTTGTGCCCAGACTCCTAACGACAGGACAGAAGACCATCCTAAAGAAATCGGTTCTGACACTCTAGAATGAATCAAAAAGGATTCTGATTTCTTGTCAACAGTCAAAACTTGTAATGAAATATGGATTTTTTAATATTATCCTGAAACCAAGCGATAGTCAATGCAGTGGAAGACTCTCTTCTTCCGAACTGATATTAATTTATGAGTTATGCCAATTGCTTTTCTTATTTACAATCATCATACATTTTCTTGTTTACTACTTTAATTAATTTCCAGCTTTTATAATATTTCCTGCATAAGCTCCCGAAATGTGGAAAAATAACTCATCGATCCTACATCAAGATAATGCCTCGGCTCTCAAATCGTATAAGATAATGTTAATTAATTACAATGGTCATTTCACGTGGACCCCACTCTCATCTCGTAGACCCCCAATTCATTTCTTGTTGTTGTGGACTCTCTAGTCGAAAATGATCACTGGGTCTACGTAGACCACTTTGGGAATCCCCCAAATTAAAATAGACCCTATTTCCTAGACCCCTAGACCCTAGACCCCAAATATTATGAACTATTTGAAACTTGCTAAATTGTACAAAATTATAAAGTTTGTTATTAGTATGTTGTTTTGTTCCCTCCGCCAATGAGCTTGCACGTTCTATGAGGATAATTTAATAAAAAATAGTTTCAATACTATTTATGTTTACCTATTATTATAGTAATTAAATAGAAGGAGTTCCATTATTAGATTGAAACAAACGTAATAAAAAAAGCGCAAACAATTAAGTAATTGACATAAAATGTAAATCAATAAATATGATATTACTATCAAAAATAAAAATAGAGAACGTTGAATGAAGTATTTATGAAATTAAGTTACATTTGAGAAATCATGTAAATAAACTAAAGCGTGTTTAGTTCAGGGCCACATAGAGAGCGTGGACAAATGTCTGTATTCGAAAGAGCGCAAAACTATCTAGATCGAGTCATTAGGTGGTGTAATAAATGGAGATTGACTATAAACGCCTTCAAAACACAACTTATATTGCTCAAATCTTTCAATTGTCGTGATGTTCATGGCCGGCTAACCTTGTTAGGAGAAGACCTTATTCTCAGAAACTCGGTTTCCTATTTGGGAGTTCATTTTAGCAGGACTCTCAACTGGAAAACCGACATAAGACACCCTAGGTTTAAACTCCTGGCAGCGCTGTCCGGTAAAATGGGCAGAACGTCAACTAAAACATTATTGCACATCTACAAAATTTTTATAAGACAGCCAATAGAATACAAGGCATGCTCCTACGCATCACTTAAAAACCACCAAATTAAAACCATTATGGCCACCGAAAGGAAAATCCTTAGATTCTGCATGAGGAAGTGCAGGTACTATCCATCAGCACACGTACACCAGGTAGCCAATCTAACAGCGATTAAGGACAGAATCCTATCCCTCAGCAGGAGGTATGTCCTTGGCACTATTACAGGCTCGAACAACCGAGCCAAAAAAATACTAAAGACGCCATACAATCGCCGAGGGCAAATACCAGGGTTCCTAAAAGAAAAGCTCCGTTCCCTCCAGCTAAACTTCTACACAACAATGGAAACTTCCTGATGAGTATTTTGATATATTAGAATCAACCCCCATTAAATATCGTATTTAACAACTGCAAGCCAAAAACGCTGATTAACAGCCATTCCCAGTATGGCTGGTAATTCCTTGAAGGACCTCCCTTTGACTTGTTCAGCCTTCTTCGGAAATAATTCCTCTTGTGCGCTTCATATCATATCGTCCACATCACACTTGCCACCTTCTGTACCCCAGCTTTTTAGCAATCCACCTTTACATCTTAACAAGCATTCTTCAACACGTTTACCACATCCCCGCTGCTCCGAAAAAAAGGAGTACTCCTCCCCTGAAGAGGTAATAGCCTAAACAAAGTTAAAACACTGGATCAATCGTTCCATTTATTGGCGCTTTGTATATTTTGCCAGTTTTATCGACCACGTGACCAAGTGATTAATGCGAAGGTCACGTGGTCCATAAATCCTGCCCATTAGAAAGAGATGAGGGACTGCTTTGTATCAGTTTTCTCTATCGCACTGGGTGAACGGACTGGTAAGGTCCATTCGCTTAGCTCGAGCACAGAATAAATAACAATCTGAATGCCCACTCTCAGATGTCGCCTTTGAAGTGTGTCAGCATGCGATCGCCATGTTTTAAACGGAAAGACTCTGATTAGACTCTGATTGAGAAATTTGCGACAAGCTACGACAGAACTGTAATTTAAATTTTTAGAGATTAATAATTTAGTACATTTGAAATAATTTAATCTATTCTTCAACTAAAAGTACGAATAAAATAGTGCATTATGTCTATGGTTGCCGTAAATAAACTAAACCGGGTTAATTTTTCTATGCATATCAGATAAAATTTCACTGAACAGCACTGGCACCGTTTAAAACATAGCTGATTCCATCTGAGCGAATGAGAGGCGCGCATGGACGTTATTTATACGTCCATGGAGGCGCGTATTTATCTTGATAAGCAGAGTGAACATTCTCCTTGTTTCTTATTCTGTAGCTCGGGCATATTTTGACAGATTCAGTTATTCAGTTAGACATTCAGTTGTTCTTTGTTTAAATTGGTCTGTATATTTTTTTTTGAAATTAAAAAAATTAGTATCTATAAACAATTATTATCTAATACACGTATTACAAAAGATCGATGGGCCCCATTTTTAAATAATTTTGTTGGTGATAACAACGACCAAAAATATTTTAATACGATAAAAAATTACTGTTCACATTTAAATACAAAGCAAACTGCTACTTGATTAAATATTCCTAATGACTAAATATGTCAGTATAAATTAATTATAATGATACTGATTTTAATTCAATTTATTCAATAAATTCATGGTCAACAATTTGCTGACAGTTATGTTGATTGACAGAAGAACCAGACAGCGGACCAATAATTATGAATGAAGAGGTACTGTATGTGCTCAAAAATATGAAAAACGGAAAGGCACCATCACATCTGGTATCGACATCTAGGGCCCCGAAAGAAAAGCCACACACAATCAAGGTAAAACGAGAGCTCAAAACTTTAAAATTCCAATCTGCAAAAAACGAATACTCTTGCCCATTCACTTGTGAAGAAGTCACTATAGCTCTCAAGGATGTAAAGCCAGGTAAAGCCCCAGATTTTGACAATATTCATCCCGAATTCTTAATTTACAGCAAATATGCGAGAGAATGGAAGGTCCACTTTTTCACAGATATTATGAAGACCGGTACCATACCACAGTAACTCAAGCGCTCAAACATCATTACCATATTAAAACTAGGGAAACCAAAGGATAACAACCCTAAGAACTACAGACCAATAGCCCTACTATCGGCAACGTTCAAGCTACTAGAACGACTTATCTATAACAGAATTAGTCCAAAGCTACTTGAATCGATACCGGTTGATCAGGCAGGTTTCCGACCGAAATGATGCTGCCCAGATCAGGTTCTTTCACTTACTACATTTATTGAGGCAGGGTTCCAGAATTAAAACGGCAGTCGCATTCATAGACCTAACAGCGGCCTACGATACAGTCTGGAGAGAAGGCATGATATACAAGCTCCTCCGTACAATCTCCTGTAAATCCACCGCTCGAATAATCAACAGCATGCTAACCGAACGAACAATTCAAGTAGTCATAGGAACCGACATCAGCACCCCAAGAAAACTGAAGAATGGACTGCCTCAGGGATCTGTCCTAGCTCCTCTTCTCTTTAGCCAGTACATCGATGATATACCAGAAACCAGATCACGGAAGTTTGGTTAAGCCGATCACTGGGTCCTTGCAACAAGGTGTAAGTCAATTGAACAAACAGAAGAAATCCTTACGGCAGACTTACACACAGTGGGAAAGTATTTTCGTAGATGGAGGCTCTAACTAAACGTTACCAAAAGAGAATTTTCCAGTTTTTATATAACAAGCTTGCAGGAAGAACACTGAACGTCCAATTCGAAAACACCACACTGGCCTACAATAAAACACCAAAGTACCTTGGGGTTACTCTTGATAGAAACCCTATCTTTCAAGAAACATCTGTCAAAAATAGCGGAAAAACGTAAATCCAGAAACAACATCATCCAGAAGCTGTTCGGCACAACATGGGGAGCATCGGCTTCCACCTTGCGATCATCTGCCCACATATACACAAAGTAGATGCCTAATTAAACAATACAATGAGAATGATTGCTGGTGTTATCAAATCCACCCCTACGCAATGGCTCCCAGTACTGAGCCACATTCCACCACCCAAACTACGGCATATACACTCCCTCACTAGTGAGTAAAAAAAGATACTTATAACGAGATCCTGCCAATTCATCAAGATACAGATGTTGCCAACGGTAACCGTTTACGCTCCAGACGACCGCCAATAAAAACAGCACAGATTGCAGTGGAAAATGAGTTCAACTTAACGACCACTTGGACTCGAGAATGAGTGGAACAACAAAATAGCAGCTTACCCTGCATCACACAAAAACGACCAGA